ACCCGAGGGCCCCGTGGACATGAGCTGGGTCATTCTTCCTGGTGAATTCTCATAAACTCCCATGGGGAAATGCCCTGGACTCCAAAAAGGTCTGGGCCTCTCCTGAAAGCACCTATGCTGCCCTCTGTTCCCTGAGATGTCCTCTCCATCACATGCCTCTAGTCCAAATCACTGAATTGCAGGGACCTGCAGGGACAGAACACAGACAGGGTAGGGGGAGACTGGACCCTGAAGGCTCATCCTGTCTGACATCTGCATGATCTGATATCCTGTTAGAACAAACAGCCTCAGGCAGTAATGTATTTGCAAATTCCACATCTTCCCTGACTACCTCTCACAGTCTGCAGCTGCTCCGCTGACCAAGAAAAGGAGCCCTCAAGGCAGGGAGGCTGGTGCTATCTGGACTGTTCCTTCCTCTGGCTCCCACTCACTCCCCCATCGGGGCCCAGGGCAGGGCTCAAGTTTCCAGTCTCCCTGGGTCCACTGGAGAGATCTTGAGCTGACCCACCCTGCCACAGGGCTTCCCTTAACTTTGGCTCCAGCTCACAGCCCCTCACGACCCCTCCCTCCACAGGTTTGGAGTCTGTGGCTCCTTCCTCCCCTCTCCAGCTGCAGCCAGGATCCCCGCCATGCAGCTGCACATGACTTTCTCTTATCTTTTAGCCCCACCCTCCCCATCCATCTGGTCAGCACCAAACCAAGCACCAAGCCGCTTGAACGTGACTCATCCCTTCCTGCAGCTTTTGGACACTCACAGCGGGGGACAGAGGGGAAAGAGAACTTGGACAGGGACAGCAGCCTGGCGGAGGGGAACCAAGAGGGCAGGCAGACCAAAACCGAGTTAGATACTGGGAATGGTGACACACCTGCTATTAGATATGCCCAGTGAGCATATACATTGGGTATAATTATATATAAAGGATTTGGATTATAAAGAAGAGCATTGCCTATTAAGAGTGTATTATGAATTTGAGTTCTTGCGCTGAGGGCATAGAGAATTAGGCCTCAAGTCTATATATTGCTTAAAACACATTAGGGTTATTGTGGGTGAATGACAGGTTTCAAATAGGTTTGAATAGGAGTTTGGGCTCCATCTTCATTTAACAGTCTAACCTGGTCCCTCCTCCAAGTCCCTCCTTCCCTGGAGCAGTTATGCCAGTGTCTTCCAAACCATGCTGCTTATTGGAATCGCCAGGGGCCCTTTAAGAATAGTGCTGCCTGGCTCCCTCGTCTGATGTTCTGACTTAAGTGGGATGGAGGGCAGCCCAGGTGTGGGGTTTTCTGAGGCTCCCCAGGTAATTCAAATGTGCAGCAAAGGTTGGGAGCCACTGAGCTGCAGCATTTCTTTGAGAGCTGCAGCTTGATCTGCCTGGTGGTCAGCAGCCCTTGGGCAGGGCTTACAGTAAAGTGTGATGGTCAGTTGATAGCTCCAAGCTGTTCATTGTCTCCTTTGCCTGGGCTCCAGCCTATGTGTCCTACAGCAGGATGATTACTATTATTGCTTTGCCAGCTTTGGGTTCAGCGTGGCAGCGTAGGGGAGCCAGGCCACGTTTGAGCCCTGTCTCCCAGCAGAGCCAAACAGAGAGGGTGGGAAGGGCTAAAGAGAGGGGGCTAGAGAGGATGAGACCAGCTGGACAGAGGGCTGCACTGCCCCCAGCACAAGGGGCCGTGTTGCTGCCCTGAGTAGACTGACAGGACAGGGCCGGCTGCTCCCTGCGGAGGGGCTGCCTGGCAGTTTTGGAGTGTGATGGTTAATTTCACTACCACTGGGTGAAGGGAGGCCCACACAGCTGGTAAAATATTATTTCTGGGTGTGCCTGCGAGGGTGGCTTGGGAAAGAAAGCATGTGAATCAGTACGCTGAGCAGAAGGTGGCCCTCACCGAAGTGGGTGAGCATCGCCCCATCCACTGAGGGTGTGAACAGAACAAGAAAGGTGGAAGAAAGGCAAATTTGCTCTCTCTGCGTGAGCCAGGCCATCCATCTTCTCCTGCCCTCAGACAGCAATGCTCCTGGTTCTCAGGCCTTTGGACTCAGGCTGGAATTATACCAGCTTTCCTGGGCCTCCAGCTTGCAGATGACAGACTGTGGGACTTCTGTCTCCATTCTCACGTGAGCCAACGCCTCATAATAAGATCTTTTTCTATTGATTTATACTTCTATCCTGGTATTTCCGCTGTGCGGGGGAGCTCCGACTGATACATGGAGCTTCAAAGACAAGGTTATGATTTGGGACTAAGGCTTCTCCAGGCTCAGGGCTGATTTTCCGTGTGACTTTGGGTCTGTCACTCAATCTCTTTGACCCTAAGCTTAGCAGGGAGGGTCCATGCTGAAATGCAACGTGAGCCGCGGCTATGAAAGTTAATGGCAACTATTTCTGGAGCGCTTAGCACAGTGGCCGATACACAGTGTGTATGTCATACGCATGATCCTGTTTAGTTCTCACAGTAGGATTGGTACCATTGCTATCCCCATTTTACAGATGAAGAAATTAAGGCTTGGAGAGATTGAGTAGCTTGCCCAGGGTTAAACCAAGTTTGTCTCCCAAAGGTGATAAAATGGCCAATGTCATATTCCCAAGTGGAGTAAGGGCTATTTCCAAACCACCCCAAATGTACACAAAACAACAGAAACACAAAGTCCAGAACTTTTTCCTACAGGAAAAGTCTAGATAGAAGCTTCTCGTGGAAATCTGCCAAAGACTTTGAGGCAGAGACTTTGAGGACTGGGTGGGCAATAAGAGAGCCTGGATTCCGTATGAAAGCTGCTTTGGCCAATGTAGACAGTAGACCGGGGTGGGGATTCCAGCTTAGCCTCCCACAGCTCCACCCCGCCCCAGGCTAGCTGAGAAACCCAGAGTTGGAGGGGACCTCGGAAAGCTGGTTCCCTTTCGGTGCCTTCTGCTCCCAATCCACCCCCCCTCACTTTGCTGATGAAATTGGAGATGCCAGGGGCGGGTGTGAAATGCCAGCTTCTGGGTCAGAGGCTAGCCTGAAAAGCAGACTTTGGAAACCTGGGCGGAGGTGAACTGCTCTGGGGATTAAAATGAGGCTCCTATACTCAGCTTCGAATGTATTCTCTCCCCCACTTTACCCTCAGCCCCAATCCCTAGTCCTCCACCCCACTGCCACCTGGGCTCTCCTCTCCCCTCGCCCTCAGGGTAGAGCAATAAAATCTCATGCTACAGCTAGAGGCTATAAAAGCTGAGCCCTACCTGCTCACTCTTTCACTGAAGTCCTAGCCACAGCCTTGGTTGCTGGAGCGTCCCGGGGTGGGGAAGTCTCTCTAGGGTTCCAGCACAGCCACAGAACAACGGGCAGCTGGCAGGAAGGTGGGAGATGCACAGGCTGGCCTGAGGCTCACTCACAAGGACAAAGGGCTTCGAAGGAAGGTCAGAGGGAAGATTCGATCCCTGCCTCCTGAGGGTTCTAGCCACTACATGGGTTTTCCAGCAGAAGAACATACTTGACAAAATTCCCATGGAGTTTAGGTGGAGAGGCAGGAGGTGTTCTGACCCTATCAGATTCCCTCTCTCCGCACATAAACTCACCTGCCCCTACCTGAATTTGAAAACCTAGTTTGGGCCTGCTGAGGAAGGGAGGAAGGAAGGAAGGACCACAGAGTCCTGCCAACTGGGACACTCAACCACCCCTGGCCCCATCACCCCCCACCTTCCTGCAACTGGTCTACCTACACCCCTTGTCATGACAACTCAATAGTCCTGGGACTGACCAATAGTCAAGCCCCGCCTCCACTGTCCACTGGATCACCCCCACCTGCCTGGTGCTATGGATGGCAGTTTTGCTGGGTCCCTAGCTGACTCCTCAAACTCTGCTCCAATACCTCTCAAGCTCCCAGTCTCTAAGAGGAAGGAGAGAAGTAGCTCAGGCAACAGTCCCACAGCCCTGGGCTTCCCCAGCTGCCCAGCTATCTAATCGGCCTCACCTCTCCACTTCCCCAGAGACAGCCTCACAGGGCCTCTTTTTATCAAGAGAGGGACTTGGGGAGGGGGGCTTTAGGAGATCAGGAGACTCCCTTTGAGTACCTATAGCTCACCCACTCTTTCCCTCCAGGATTCCTGCTACTGGGTTACCGTTAGTCACTCACGGCCCTTCCAGGCCCACTTCCTGATAAACTCCCAGCACCTCCATTCTCCAACCCCCACCTCCCTGCCGCCATGGTCTTGGGGGCCAGGCCCACCTTTTGGTTCCCTCCACAACATACAGGCACGCTGAGGAGAGGCTGGTCTCTACCCCACACCCTGCAATCTGGGCCAAAACTGGGGGTTGGTAAGGGGTGGCGCCTCTCAGAGCACAGGAATCTCATCTAGGGCCTCTCCCAGGTCCTTCTGCAGCAAGTCTCCCAGACTTCCAGACCAAAGAGGAGAGGTGGCTTCTCCTTTGTTTGGGAGGGACATGGGACAAGCTCTGCCCAGAAGCCCCCTTTCTCAGCCCAGGAAAGTGAAACAAGGAGAGGTGGTTCAGAGACTCCAAGATGTCAGGGCTGGGAGGCCTGGAGTCACCTTTTGTCCTGTATAGGGGTGAGAAAGTTGGCCCAGAGAAGGAAAGGGACTTGCCCTAGGTCACACAGCAAGAACTCAGGTCCTCTGACTCCTGGGCCAGGCCTTTTCCCTGTTAGAGCATGAGGAAATTGCTCCAAATAGGGAGTTGGGGTCGTTAACATCAGCTCCCTTGAAGGTCAGCACCTGGAGGGCTCTGGGAGAGCTGGAAGAGGAAGTGCGGAGCTGGTCTGGGGGCCTGGGTACCCAGAGCAAACAGGCGAATGGCTGGAGTGGTAGTCGGAGGGGCAGCAGAGCAGGGGAGAATGAGGGGCAGGGTCTGGACGCTGGGGAGCCAGGCAAAGAGACGTGGAGAAGAGCTAGGGATGACATTGGTTAAGACGCCTCCCTCTCCTGGCCCAGTCTTTCTGCAGGCCTCGGTGCCACGGGGATCCCGGGGCGCTCAGGCTAGCAGGTCCCCCAGGGCGAGCGAAGGAGCCTCACCTTCCTGAAGTCGGCGGTGAAGGAGACCAGGGTGCCGTCGGGCTTGCGCAGCTCCAGGCTGATGCTGTCGGCGTCGCTGTCCGCCTGCAGGCTCTCCTCGGTCACCTGGCCATCGGGCAGCCGCACGCGGACCCGCAGCTCAGCAGGCG